AAAAAAATGTTATAGGTGCCTCGAAAAAAAATAATTAAATTATTTTCCAAAGAAGTTCGAAGCGCGATAAGTGTATGAGTACGCGACTACTGAGCGAGGGTCAACTTGACGACATTCAACTGGTCGACACATTAACCCAGGGGTTTCCAAACTTTTCGGTTTGCAGCGCCCTATATCAGAATGTTTCCGCGGCGTCCCAAGTTAAAAATTTGGTCTATTTCAGGACGAACTCTAGTGTACAATTAGACAAAAAAAAATTGAAGAACACACATATTGAATGATATGATTTTTTTCATTTTGACATTTGTTGGATGTCATTTTTAGCTTACTTTACAAACAAATTGCTCGAAATTTTGTTAGCAGTTATTAGTTTAGGGTCAAATTTAACAGGAGTGCACAAAACAAACATTTCCGACATATTATTTCCGTAAAGGCAAAAAACTACTTTAATTTATGACGTTAATTACTTAACAGATAAAAAAAAACCTCTGATGAGAGAACCTCTGATCCAAATCAAAATCATAATTGCATCGGATATAACTGTGTGAGAGATTGCATACAGGTTAATACAATTAATTCGTTAATAAGTTCGACAAATCACATCACAAATGAATTGAAATTGTCCCTTTTTGAAGACAAATCACTAGTGATGGATTGTCTACAATAGCATACATCTAAAACAATTATTGTCCAGCCAGATAAACCAACACAAAACACATTGAAAGCTTAATTGCATCAATAACTATCATGTTGATAATTTTGTAGGATTACAAAGATGTATCCAAGGAACCAAACGATCAATTCAGATGTTTACTGTTAATAACAATGATGCAATACAAACGGACAGAATTGGCAAATATTGTTTAATTATTGGAAGTGATGTCGCATCAGGTTACTTTTTTTAAGTTTGTAAAACTCTTTGAATGATGAAACTTTCACTAACGATGATGACCCGAAATTGCACTTGCTTCAGTTATTTGCTGATAAGAACCAAATTTTCTATAAACGCGGAATAATTAAGTTGCCAGAATGATGGCAAAATATCATCTGACAAAATGGAAAATATATAATTAATTAAAATTCATTCTTTGAATTTTAAAAAAATGCAACTCTTTTTCAACACTATAATAGCGAAATTACTTTCTTGAAATTGAGCTATAATAATATGATCGATCAACATAATAAATGTTATTTCACATTCATATTTTTATAGGAATTAATATCTACATTTAAAATTGGAATTATAAATTAGGTTTTACTTAGTGTTACTAATATATGTTACCTGGAAGGTTACTGAGGAACTTATTTATTTATTGGAAAATACCTGTTGTCTAACATATAATTTTAAACTATATTATATTTGAATTGGAGATAAAGATTGTATTTATATCAATATAAATTATGTATCTTTGTATATAAATAATACAGTTAGTTTGCCTGTAATAAAAAGATAAATTAACTTAAAAATATATCCTGTAGTAAAGTAAAAGTCACAAGTAACTGCATATTTATATTGAATGTAATTAATTGCATTGCTATTCCGCATGGTCAAAAGGGCACGTGTATTAACATAAAATGTGCTCGGATATTAAATTTCTTTAAATTTTAAACGAATCGTTTGTGTGCGAGTGGGTGGGGTTTAGCAAAATTATGCAAGGCGCTTATGTATTCTGTACATTCTGAGTTCCTGTTCCGGAAGATTCCGGAAGTGCAAGGGTCAGCAACCCCGTGACCACAAAAACACCGGCACCTCCACAGCGATCAACGAGCGCAGCGCAATATGCAAATCCGGCAAGGATAAATGCGATGCGCCTTGCGCCGAGTCCTGTTGATTTTTATCGTTCTTCCTCTTGATGTTGTTTCTGCTGCTTTTTTTGTTGTTGTTCTTTATTTTCAACTTTTCTACTTAGTTTCGCCTTCTTCTCTTGTTAAATTGCACGGAACGAAAGGTTGATGAAATCGTTACTCCTTGCATTAATCGGAATTTAGAATTGCGATCGATATACGAAAGGAGTTGATTTCGAAATAGCAACGAAATAAACGGCGGCAGCGACGGCGGCAGCAGAGAAAAATGGAACGTTTAATTTACATATGCGGTCTGTAATAAGGCATATCCAAAGTTCGCTAATTGACCGAGCCATGCATGTCATTTAAATATCAACGAAACGATTACTGATTACTGGGAAATTAGAGGAATTTCAAGTTCGACTGTTTAAGAATCCCTTTATTTATTAGTATCTTTGTTTTAATTAGAGTATATAGGCAATATTAGTAGTGGTGTGGATAGATGCATAACTTAAATTGCGTCATGGACGAAGGATCCACCATAATGCAACAAAAACGAAAGTGCGTTGCGCTGTTTTAAAAGTTTCTAAACACCACAATCTTTCTATATAATAAAATTACGGGTGTGATGTAATGAATTAATAATTGGATGAACATTCAAATGCGAACGATACACATTTTTCTGTAAAAAAAATTGTTAGTTCTGTTCCTTTGCTTTCTTTTGGTAAAAGATAAAGACCGCGAAATAAGCGGACCGAATGATATATGTACGTATGAAGTTTGCATTTGATTTGCAACCATTTAGAGGGCTCGTTAAATGAATATTTATAGTTTCGTTCATTTATCGACTCCCTTCGGGGTCAACCAGTTTAGTCCACTCACACATACACCACGACTGCCATCTCATATACACACACACATATACTCTGTCGCACACATCCAAACACAGTCAGGAGCTTTGACACTTTTCCCTTGGATTTCGAGCCAAGGTTCTCGATTTCCCTTTTTATCTGATCTACTATGCCCAACAAATGTATGTATATCCTCAAAATGAACACATGTTACAAAAATAAAGAAACAATATAAACGTTAAATTACCGTGACTTTGTACGTAAGGAATGTTTATCCTTCGAACGGTCATACCATCTTCTGACACCTATTTTAATTTTACAGATTTGAATTTAGAATTCCGGATAAAGTAATATAAATGTAAAAATAAACTTAAAGATTTCAATTGATGTCATTCGATTTTGATTAATTACAAATGTGGCAAACGGTGGTTCGCGGTCCACTAGTGTACGAGAGAATTTTGGTATATTGAGTATATAGAGTATTTGAGTATATTTGCAATTTATGTTTTTATTTTGCATGTTTATAAAAAAATCCAATGTAAAAACAACATTTAGAATTTATCGTTTAGTACAGTGTTTCTCAAACTTTTTGGTCCGCGACCCACTTTTGCATTTAAAAAATTTGAAGGACACCAATATGTACACCAAGAGGTATGCTTATACTGTTTCTTCATATTTTATGCTTATCTACAAATCTCTTCAATTACACTTAGAACACTTACGAAAGATTGTAAACATAATGAGCAAATAGTAATTGCAAAACTAAATTACTAATAAATAATGTATAGCATTAAAATGTACTTTACCTTGAAACTAGCATAGAAATTGATATTTCAATTGTCATAAATAATATAATATAGATTGTAAGTATTAATCAGAGGTGGACCATTAACTTTGGGGGCCATGGTTTAACACTGTTTGAAATAAAACTTAAACAGTTAATATAAATAAGTAATATACTTGAAATAGTTGACAATATTATACTTAAAATGTTACTACGGTAACATTAAACCAATAATTATTTTGATTTCATATAGTCTGACTTTTTTTTAATTTAAACTTTTTATGTATTGATATTTTAAATTCAATGTTGATACCATCAAATTCTGTTTCATGGGTTACGCGACAGCTCGACGACGGACAAGTCGGCGACGGTCAAATTATTTGCAACTCATTTGTCAAATCGACAAATTTTCGATTCAGTATATACTGAATTCGTTTATTTTAGTTTACTTTTTGTGACAGTTACAATTGATAATTTTTGAATTATAAAAATGTAATTGTTTGATGAGAAAAAGGTGTTGACCAAATTATCAAAAGAAAACAAAATAAAATAGAAAATAAACATTGAGCGGAAAAATTCCGATTTGAATATAAGACGGACATAGTAATTCAATTAAAATTTGAATATATTATTAAAAAATATATGTTTATGTTCCATTAATATTTTCATGTTTAAATATTATATTTTCATTGAAAATATAAATATAAAATCATAAGGAAAAATAAAGTATTTGAAACAAATTACAGATAGTTTAGTTGTTATGTGTTTTTTCCATCAGCTTCTGGGATAAAATTATTATATAAAGCTGGAGGACATCTTATGGTAAATGTTACGTGGCTAGATTTTGTTTCATTAGTTTTAATTCGCCTTTTTTTAACAAATTTCGTTCAAGCTATCTATCATCGATATAGTATATGAGGAATACATATTTGAGGTTGATTCGTTTTGTCTTCTGGTCTTTTGTTATTTTGCCAAATTCTGTGTAGATTCTATTTCTCAGCAATTGTTTTCTTAATAATTATTGGGCATGTAGTGATACTTTTTAATTTCAGGTGTTGTAGTCCAAGCTCATTTTTGCAGTTTAGTTTTTCAATTGCCAAATCTATATCTAATTTAGTTTTTAGGGGAATTTTTAGATCTATTTCAAACTACAAGTCTGAAATGTTCCCAATCAGTTGCGACGTTATACAAATATGATGATGATGAATTTAAAATGATTATAATCCGTGAATGGTTGGAAGAGAGGTTCAAACATGTCTGAGTTTCAATGGAATTGTTGAGATATGTTCCAAATTGTTGCATTGCATAGATTTAATTAATTGTCTGTTCACCAGCTATGAATCTAATAATATAAAAAATTATATACATAAGTGATCGAAAAAAAACTATGCAGTCAAGTCTCTTTTTGTAGTTTTAAAGTTCTTGATTAGTCCGGTTTCAAACAGTCAAGGAATTGGCGTACTGCTGTATTTATGACTGAAAAAGTGTCGAGTTCAAGGCTTCAATATAATGAAAGTAATAATATGTATGGACAGAACATAATTTTATTTCATTTTCTGAATGACTATTTTTGTATATACATGAAAAGCTTAAAATAAATATCATCTAAAATGAAACATATTAAAATAAGAGAAATAAAAATCAATGCAAATAACTGTTGCCCTGAAATATCATACTGCCTCTAATCGATTCATCTTTTCATTGAATGAATTGGAATCTTTCACAGCCGGCACTTGACCTTGGACACAAGACAGTCGTGCACTTCGTCTTACGGGAGTAATATATTCGTGTGCGTTTTCTTGGTCCCTAAATTTAAATTTAAAAAAAATAGAACTTATTTGCCTTTAATATATCTATTAATATTAGTTACTTCTTTATTTTCCGTTCTTGGATCGCAAACTGGATGATACACGACTTGAAGACGTTCCTGGCCTCTTTCATTATACTTGATCTACATTTCTCATCATCAGATACATTTGCGTCTTTGTTTAACAAACTAAATTTTTCCAACAACTTATCTAGTGAATTATCTATTGTTTTCACCTAAAAACATTGTATATTAGTAGAATAAGATGGTTAATCTGTTAATCTGTTATTACCTCTGCCCCTTTGATAATAGCAGTCTTGAAACATTCCACAGCAGAACTAATGTTACCCCTGGTCTGTTCAATAGAAGCTCTGCATTCCCAATATTGAGGATCCTCCTCTATCTCTTTATATCTCTGCCTGATGGTTCCCAACCAGATCTCACATAATGTCAGAGGATATGACTGAAATGTATATTATTAGAAAATCAGATGAATATTAAATAATTAAGCATACATCTAAGATCAATTGATTTAAATCACCCAAAGCATGTTTGGCAATTGAAACTAGCTGGGATGGTTTCACATCAATAGCATCTTTGATCTGAAGTTCAATAGTTTCAGCCTCATTTTCTTTATCTTCATTATCTTGTGTAACTTTATCTCTTGAGAAGTATTTCAAGTGATGGAATGTACTCATTGGTTTGCCTCTTTTTTTGAGCCAATCATTTAAGCAGCTTTGCAGATCATTCAAGCCTGGTCCAGGTGTTGACTGATGGCCTAATTTTCTCATTCTTGTGGGTGTTTTAAAAGATTGGCTCCTCCTCTTATAAGCAGTTGGAGTCTTGAAAGTTATTTGAGTTAACACCTCCTGCTTGATAGGAGAACATTCAGAAATCAATGATAGTCCTATCTCATCAATATTTTCCATAGACTGTGTTACATCTGCTTTCGACAGTTTCTCTTCAGCAGTTGATTTTGCAATAAGCTTCTTTCTGTTGAAATGCTGTGCAGAGAGTGACCTACGGATAGGTTTGATCTTTTTATTTTTAGGACGGGCCTCATGAATAGCAGGCTTTTTGAAATTATCATTTTGCAATGCAGCTGTTTTGGGTTTCTCTTTCAATATGCTGTTGGACATTGGCTTTGCCTGACTTTTATTTATATTTGGTTTAATCGTACTTTGCTGTGTCATGTTTATTGACTTACAATTGGAATAGTTTTTTATTAGTGGGTTCTGACACGGAGCAAATCTTCTCTCTTTAACCTGTATTGGAACATACCCCAAACTAACAGAGGGTGGCAATGAGATTTTGTCAAGTTTTAATTCATCCTTCCTCTGTTTTTCATACATTAACGATGGATTGGCTTTAACCATTCTGTATACAGAAGTCAATGTTTGCCGAACCGGTGGGGCTTTTCGGATTCTTGATTTCTCATCCTTTTTCATTCCCTTGTCAGACATCTTTTTTTCTAATTTAAAATTATTTAAAACATACTTTGCACAACGTCAATCAAAATCACTTTATCATTTTATAACTTAAAAAGTCGTTATTAGTCGTTATCATATTTCAAATCGAAAGCAAGAAAGATCCAGTCTTTCCAACACAAAATTGCAAGTGCTGACCAGTGCTGACACCAATGCGATTTAATAGAATGTACAGTGGAACCTCGCTTAACGAGCATAATCTCTTCTATGATTATTTACTCTTTAAGCGCAACAATTTGTCATAACAAAGATGACAAAAAATGCGAAACGTCGCTCATTAAGTGAGTTATTTTTGTTACCATTTGCTTTCATCGTTATGAGAGGAACTCGTTAAGCGAGGTTTCACTGTATATTAGTATGTGTTGTGTGTGGGTCTATATCGCAAGCCTGACAACCGAAATACTGTCTATTAAAATCCCGACTATATCAAAATCTCGACAACCAAAATCCCAACTGTATTAGAATCTTGACAACCATAATCCCGACTATATCCAAAATGTCTACTATAACATTTTTAAATTAATGTGCTACATTTTTATTATTAATAACAATAAATTATTATTAATTTATTTGATATTGTTGAATTATTCATAATAAACCTTAACATAATGAAATAATCTCAAATACAATTATATTATTAATTGTTGTTATTTATTATTAATAACAATTTAAAAGTGACTACGCTCCGGAATTACTTAAAAATGTTATTGAAGACATTTTCGATATAGTCGGGATTTTTATACAGTCGGGATTTGGATACAGTCGGAAATTTGATTGATGGTATTTCGGTTGTCGGGCTTGCGATTTTCACCGGTTGCGTAACCATCAAAGGAAGTAAAAAGAATGCGACAAAATTAAGATTATTCTATAGTCCCTTGTATCATAAAATCTGAAAGTTGACGGATTCGAATTTCACGAACAACAAAAATGTATATCAATAACAATTGTTTTAAATCTCCATTTAAAAAAAAGGCATATTCAAAAACAGTTAACAGATAAAAAAAGAATTCCAAACATATTTATAATGTTTAATTCAAGATAATAAAAATCTAGGACTAGGAGAGAAGAATAATTCGAATTTTATTGTAGATATCTGTAATTTGTTCCAAATATTTTATTTCTCCTAATGGTTTTCTATAAGAGAAGACAAATGAAAATTTAATATTTAAACATGAAAATATTAATGCAACATAAATATACATATTTTTAATAATAAATTAAAATAGATATTTAAACGGTGGGCACCGACACCTGTTGTAGAATATAGCATATAAAGAACTATTGAAAGCAGTAAAAAAATGTATTTTTATTATTTTGAGAAATTATCTGATAATTCAACACTTAACACATAAGTTTCGCTTACTAGAGTATTAATTATTGAAGTTATAGGATTGAATAATATACACACTACAGTTTTATTTACGTTGCCGGGCCGACCCCTTTTTCCCGCCAACAATATTTTGTTTGTCTTTCGTTTTTAGCAACATGGGATGCACTTCTAAAAAGACAACAATTTAAATATAATAAAATAAAAGCAGAACGATTAAATAATACCTCCATCGTTTGTATTTTGTAGTTGGACATCGTAAACTTTGTACTTTTTCTTCTTCGACGGAGGTGATGCACCCGCTGATTGCACTGGCGGCGCTGTATTCTCCTGCACCCAATTATCTTCCGGGTCTTCCACCTAGAACATAAATAAATATAAAATATCCCATATATTACAGCCATACTATTAACAAATTACAAGAAATTTTCATATCGTAATAAAAATTAAGTTAAATTTTGGGATTGAAAGTTTTAATGTTTAAGTTCAGTTCATATGCATATTTACATATTTATAATATATTCATTTAACTTATATTGTACTACGACTGATCGAAACAATTATTTAAAATTTTACCTCTGGTGCAATTGGCAAAAATTGTAGACAATCGGTATTCTCGTTCTCTTCATCGGAGCTGCAAAATGCCGCTACAGGTTCAATGCCACACACATCAACCTACAATAATATACATTTTAGTAGTAACTCGATTTATAATAACAACCCAAATTTCATTAATTCTTACATCAATTTCTGTATCTTCTTTTGATTCTCCTCCACTTGCTACCGATTTATCTTCATCAGTCAAGTCGAATTCACTTTCTCTCTCCTCATACTCTACATTTTCATCAAGTTCTTTGAAATCAGGAGCAAAAGCTGACCAATTTTCTACTTGATTCTGTGCCCAAACACTAACCACGCCTAGAAATATAAATTTAACTCATTTTTTTTTTACATGCTGCACATTCATTACCAGAAGATATACTGGCGATAATTGGTCTTACAGGATGCCAGGCTACATCCAACAGCAATTCTCCTTTTGTACCATGCAATATCTTGACCAAATTGCCAATAGATTTTTCCCATATATATAAAGCATGTTGGCGGGCAGAACCAGCGCAAATGTATTCACCGTCACCCGAGAAGCAGCACTTTTTCCACATCGTTCTGAAAACGGAAAGTGGCTATAATTAATATTTTTTTACTCTTTTATTAACTTACTTGTTGACTAAATCTTGCAACTTTTGTATAGGTTCTGGTTCTCCATCTATACCGCATGTCATAACTTCTTTGCTGTCATAAACCCTAATTACCCTATCTGCTGTATTTACAAGAAACCAACTGGATCAAAACATTAATAACTTCATACTTTAACTGTTTTTGTTAACTTACTCTCCACGCCTGGCAAATTCAATGCTCTTAACTGCTGTTGCATTTGATGTACCCAAAACTATGCGAAAACTAGCTTTAATTTCTAATGTATCAGCATTCATAACTAGAACCTTTCCTTTGGCGTTCCCAGTATACACATAATCTCCTCTCCTATCGAAACTAGCCACAATATTTAAATCAGCCTGTAACATATTCATATAGAATTTTTGTTTAAATTGTATGATGTCTTTACATCATCATCTATAGGTAAAACTTGATGACTGCCATTGGTATCAACAAGTACAGCTGCATGTTTCATAGGACAAACTAACAGTCGATCAATTCCTCTAGGTTCAAACTGAACTTTTAGCACTGGACAAGGAAATCTGTACTTTTGCTCACACTCTCCAGACAAAACAGACCATATGCAAACTGTGTTATCTGTTGATGCTGAAGCCATTTTGTGCCCAGTCCTGGACCAACTAATACTGCAGACTGGGTGCACATGAGCAGAGATAATTTTTGCAATGCCCCTGGTAAGGAAATCCCATATAACAATTCTGCCATCATTACAACCAACAGCAAGCAGAGTTCCTCTTTTATTAAAAGCACAGGTTAATGCAATTGAGAGACAATCAAGTGTGCCATCAAATTCCTTCAAAACGGTTAATAAAATACATATTTTTTCAAGTAATATACAATACCTCTGGGTAATTCTGTCCAAATGATTCTAAAAAATATACAACAGTTAACTATGTTAAAGACTATTGTATAATAAATACATGCCCAATAATTCCAGATTCATGCTGTATTTGCTTAATTCTACTTAAGTCAAAATAATTCAAATCCACAAAATTGTTTTATTTATTTATTGGTTATGCCCAATGTTTTGTTTTGGGTAGTCAGTAGCACCAACATCAATTAAATTTAAAATCCCTAGATTTATATGTGTTTCGTCTAGTCCAAAACACATGCCTCTGCTTTTGTAGGTTATTGTAGTGCATGTTGCGGTGTGTTTACATCAGTTTGCATTTGAAGGAAGTGAGATAATGTTATAATGGGTTTGACTAAGCAATATTTACGTTATGTCTCTGCGGGAAATTTCAATATAATTGCAAGTCCTAACTGCAATGTAGTGTTTGTAACATTAGAAGGCCAAGAAGGCAGATATGTAGCTGTAGGAGCCTGTGAGCATATTTTTATTTGGGACCTAAGGTTGGGTGAGAAAGCACAGGTGCTGACTGGAGAGAAGTCCCCTGTAACTTATCTCTGCACAAGCCCTAACAAGAGACATTTAGCTGCTGGTTATGCAGATGGAACTGTACAAATTTATGATTTGAAAACTGCAGAAGTTGTGTCAATATTCTCTGGTCACAAAAATGAAATCACATGTTTGAATTATGATAGCTTTGGACACAAGCTAGCATCTGGCTCAAAGGTAAATCAAATTTTATAACTCTTCTATTCTTTTATTAATGTATTTGTGTTTTAGGATACTGATATTATTGTGTGGGACACAGTTGCTGAGGTGGGAGTATGTCGACTATCAGGACACAAGGGTCCTGTAACTCAGGTGGCTTTCATGTCATCCCAATCAGTCTTAATTTCATCTTCAAAAGATACATTTGTTAAATTTTGGGATCTTGACACTCAGCATTGTTTCAAGACGTTGATTGGTCATCACACAGAGGTGTGGTCATTGAGTTTACTCAAGGATGATCAATATTTGGTCACTGGTTGTGGAGATGCTGAGCTAAGAGTTTGGAAAATCACGCAAAACGATGACGAAAATAAATCGCCTGTAGAGCATTTATCTAGCAAACTTGAGTTGGCTACGCTGGATGATCTAGATGATTCAAATGTAAGAAGATGATGTACATCAATGGAAACTATGTTAACATGATATTATTTTAGTACAATTTACAATGTCATAAAAGTGGTTCATTGTTGAGGTCTGGAAAAGGACGTGTTATGTCCCTCTTCTCGGATACAACTGGTCAAATTGTTGGATGCCATGGCAGCGATAAACAAATTGAATTGTTTTGGTTCTGTTCTGACGAGGAAGCTCAAAGCCGGCTGAAGAAGCGCATGAAGAAAGAAAGAAAAAAGTAGCTGCATTAATTAATATGTTTATATCATTGATAATAATGGTTTAATTTACAGGCAAGAGGGTCTAGATGCAAGCGAGATCAATGAGGATATACTGCAGTTAAGTTTGAAAGATGAAGTTCGTCGGTTAACAAGTATCAAGTTAACTGGGAAACCAAAGTCTTTGCATATGGTTCTCGGCAACGGTGGCGAACTGCGTGTAGCTGTAACGCTTGCGAATAACACAATTGAACTATTCACGCTGCAGACATCCGGAAAAGGTGGTGATGCTAAGACATTGCGTAGTGTTACCATGCAAGGCCATCACAGCGAAGTGAGAGCTGTGAACTTCAGTAACGACAATTTAGCAATCATCAGTGGCAGCGGAGATACTATTAAGATGTGGAACAGGCCATCACAGATTAGTTTGAGGACCATCGATTCCGGATATGTTCTCTGCACTCTATTTGTGCCAGGTGACAGGCATGTTTTAGCTGGAATGAAGGATGGTAGATTGTTGATTATTGATATAGCTGCTGGCGATATTTTGGAGGAGATTCAAGCACATTCCGGGTCTGAATTGTGGTCGATGTGTTTGCAACCAGATATGGTACGTAATTTGAAAACTATTAAATAACAACTAAAAATACCTGAATATATTAATATTAAATGATTTCCAATTATCTACTATAATTTCATATTATTTAAGTTTGAAAAATGCAAAAATAATTCTATAAATAATGTACATGTTTCAGCGAGGTGTGGTAACAGGAGGAGCAGATAAAACTGTTAAATTTTGGCAGTTTGAATTAATCGTTGATGAGCAAAGTGAATCAAAAGCTAAAGTTTTGTCACTGCTACATGTGCGTACACTCAAACTGGAAGAAACTGTTCTATGCGTAAAAGTCTCTCCGAATAGCAAATTCGTAGCAGTTGCCTTGCTTGACTCCACTGTCAAACTGTTCTTTTTAGATACTTTTAAGGTATTAATCTCGCACATGAAATTTAGATTCATTAATTAATTATTTGCTTTAGTTTTATTTATCGTTATATGGACATAAATTGCCGGTGATTTGTTTGGACATCTCATCTGATTCAAATTTGATCGCCACCGGATCTGCTGATAGGAATGTGAAGTTATGGGGAATGGATTTCGGCGATTGCCACAAGAGTATCTTCGCTCACGATGATTCCGTGACGGGACTGCAATTCGTACCGAAAACACATTATTTCTTCACGTGCGGCAAAGACGGAAAGGTGAAGCAATGGGATGGCGACAGTTACAACAAGATTTTAACGCTGCAAGTAAGTATTTTATAATGTACATAAACTGTCGCATACTTTAATGTATATTTTATTAGGGACATGTTGGAGAAGCATGGAATTTGGCCGTAAGTCCAAATGGACAGTTTGTAGTGTCATGCGGAGCGGACAAGGTTCTTCGTCTCTATGAGAAAACCGATCAACCTTTAGTACTGCAAGATGAGGAAGAAGAAGAAAGAGAACAGCAAGATGGATTGGCTACTGGGGAGCAAACCGTAGTTGCAGGTCATCCAGGTCTAAATCTGCCATCTAAGAAAACCATCGGCAGCGAAAAATCCGTAAGCATATGAAATGTTAACTACGATACGATAAAAAATAATGCAATTCAATTTTCAGGCTGAAAGCATTATGGAGTGCTTGGAAGTTTGCGAAAAATACAAAGAGCAATTATCTGAACATGCTACATTGCAAGCTTCCTCGAATCAACCAGTGGCTTTACCAGCTGTGCCTCTACTCATGCAAGCATTCAGTGCCTCTACACCAGAAGATTTTGTGTTAGAAACTATTAAAAGGATAAGGCCGAGCGACATGGAGGAAGCATTGCTCATATTACCATTCACGACGGTATGCGAATTGATTCAGTATCTACCCAACCTAATGAACAGAGGGGATTATGTAGAATTGGTGGGCAAAGTTGTAATGTTCTTGTTGAAAGTGCATCATGCTCCCATCATTGCTAATCACACTTTACTTACTACACTGAAGAGCTTGCAGAAAGTATGCTGTGTAAAAGCAGAAGAACTGCGTGTAAGTAATTACATATTTCATCATTAACATTTTGAATTCATGGCAATATTTGATTGTAGGATATGGTTGGATACAATTATTACGGACTGCAGTTCTTGCAACGTGAATTAGAAGCTAGAGAAGGCGTCACACTCTTTCGAGATGCAAGCAGACAAAGGAAGAAGGGAGAGAAGAAACGCAAGCAAAGGGAGAAATTGAAACGTTCAATAATGGTGTTAAATAATTGAATTAATTAGTTTAATATATTTTACTTTATATGTTATTTCTTAATTTCTTTGCCATTTGGTTTATTCCCATTTTAAACCAAACATACATAATTTTCAACAAATATACATTGCATCATTGAAATTGGAAAATAAAAAAATAAGTTTAATTTTTACAAACTCGGTTATCAATTTAATTCAGTAATTCTAATCGAAATCGCCGTGAACAATCGCCCATTCACCCTAGTATTATGAACAATATTGTTATTCTCAAAGTAAAGTATCAATTTGCGATTGCAAAATCGTATACAGCGGAACCTCGCTTAACAAGCAAAATGAATTGTAAAAAAAATTGACTCGCTTAACGAGCGATGTTTCGTATAACGAGTGGCGAGAAGAGAAGTCCCGAATTGCGCGCCTACTTCATCATTTTTAAAACTTGTGTACAGATATTATGTGTATTTTTGAGTATATTAACCATTCTTTGTCATCTTTGTTTAAAGCGGACTATAATTTGCAAATTAATTTATGTTTGCTATAAATGCAAAACACAAATGTATTGTGTCCAACCATTATTATAATATATAAACACACTGGGTATATATCGCAAGCCCGACAACCGAAAAGTCTATTGCGGAGACGCCCAAGTGTTATTAATTTTGCACAAAAAAACACAAATAACATGTCTGAACACAAGTTTGGAAATTTTGTGATCACAAACAACAATAAGATGCAACTGGAATGACCACTAACACTAGGAAATGTTTTCCAATTCACGGGACTTGTGTCAAGTCCCCACTTGGTGGAGGTCTTTATACTTTTAATATTTGTTTATATAAAAAAGCGTACATAGTGTGTTCCGGTGGCAATCGCAAGCCCGACAACCGAAAGCCCGACGTTCGAAATCCCGACTGTATCGAAATCCTGACAGTGTCTTTTATTATTATATTTCTACAATAACATTTTTAAATTATTCTATAATATTTTTTAATAGGTACGTAGTATACTGCAGAAAAAAACTACTTTTAAGATCTAGGTCGATGGCTCTTTTGCCCGATTATTAATTGTTGTTATTTATTCTTAATAACAATAAATAATATTAATTATTATTGTTTTTTTTTTTCGTTGACTTATTCATTATAAAACTTAAGAATAAGAAATATTCTATATTAAAATTACTTTATGTTATTAACAATAAATAACAACAATTAATAATCTTATTAAGTTTTAGATTGGATTTCGATATAGTCGGGATTTCGATACACTCGGTTCCACTCTACTGGTAAAAGTATATCATCTAAATAATGTATATTGGGATGCCTAAGTTAATAATAAATAAACGTTTTTAAATAAATAGATTATTTCGAAATTTTAAAAATCTACTTTCACCTAGATAAGATTATATTGTTACATAAATCTGAAATGATTATTTTTCATAGCTTTAATTACATCTCAACCATAGGTAGTTCATGTCAATGATGTGTCATCTGTTCTGACCTTATTTGTATTTACTTTTACCTGCACAGGTAGCAAAGAAGTGAAAATGTGATTTTAACAGGTAAATTTCATTGTGGCTAAAATAAGTGAATATTCCATAAAACAATTTCAATGAAACCAGAAGAAAATGGATAGCAATGAATTTCCATCCATCCGCTCCGAGGATGGATACAGTACCTCCACATCACTATCATCTGGTCTAACAGGATATGAGGATGAGTTGAATGAGATAAAACATATCCTAAATCTTGGTAGTGTTCATAAAGTGAAGAAAAATGGGACTGATAAAAATACCATTGATGTTAGTACATATGAGACAAGAATCAATAATTTAACATCAGAATTGCAGACATCCCTCAAGCTGAATGAGAAATATAAGAATCAGCTATTTTCATTGGAGAGGAGCAATGAATTGAGAGTACATGAGCATTTTGAGAAACTGTTGCAAGCAAATTCAAGTTTAGAAAATCAATTAGCTAGTGCCAATAAGCAATTCAGTCTGTTGATGAAGAATAAATCTAATAGTCTTCCAAATAGTTTATCTCTAGAGAAGCTAGTAAGTGAATTGCAAATTGAGCTGGAGCAAAATAGAAATGAGAATCATGCAAATACAGCAATACATCAAGATTTAAATTTACAATTGAATGAATTGAGTTTAGAATTGAAAATAAAACAGAATTGTATTGATGAATTAAAGAAGAAAGTAACTGAACAGCATATTGATATTGGCAAATTGAAGCAATCAAATGCCTTGTTGACAAGCAACTGCACTTGTGTGAAATTGGAATTTGAACATTTGAGAAAGTCTAATGTTTGGTATAAGGAACAACTGCATTCTTGCCAAACAGAAAAGAAGAAAGTTGTAGAGGATTTTTTGACTGTAAAAAAAGATTTGATTAATGGAAATAGGGAGAATGAAAGGCTACAACTGCAAATGGAAAATTTGAAAAAAAAATATATGGAACTGATGAATGACTACAAAAATTTGGAGGACAACCTATTAAAACAGATTCAAAAGTTGGAAACTAAAAATACGTTAATGCAACAACCATTAGAGCCAGTAAAGAAAAGAGTTAATAATGTGCACGAAAACGAAATAAAAAGCCTACAGGAGAGTATATTGGTGATCCAGTCAAATCTGGAGGAGCAGAGGACTTTGTTCAATGCTATTTCTAAGGAAAACGTTAATTTGCAATCGCACCTAACAATAGTGGAAAACGAGCTTGATAACAAACAGTTAAGCATTGAATTGACAGAATGTAACTATAAAGAGATTAGCACAAAATACCTGGAAATCAAAGAAGAATTGAAACAAAGGAACAATCAATTGTTATCGAGCAACTCCCTGAATAGTAAACTGCAATTGGCTTTAGAATCAGTGACAGAAGAGCGGGACGAGATTACCAGATCCATCGTTGCGGTGCGTAAAGATTTTCAGCGCTTTCTAAATCTGCACCAGGAAACTAAGCAGGAATTGTTGCAGCGGAAGATGGAAGCAGAAAATTCCGAATACGATCTGAAGGTGAGCCAGAAGATGCTCAAGGAATTTGAGACTAGCGAGAAAGAGAATTTCATGATAATTCGATCAGTTAACGATGAACTGAAACATTTGAAGGACGATAAACTGGTATTGATGGAAGTGAATGCTAATAAGTGTCACCAATATGAAAGAGCACTTGATGAGATGAGGAATAATATTGTTACTTTGGAAAATGTTCTGAAAGGAGTGCTTGATAATTTTACTGAATATTTTGCGCGCAGGCCGGTGAAGAGTATTCAGGAATCGGGGATCGAATATGTGACCAATTTGAATGCCTTCTTCGAGAAGTTGCAGAAGTTTGGAGGTACCGAAGCGCACGCGATTTTCAAACGCAAATTGCTGGATAGATTGCACAAAATTGAGGATCGCGTGAGCGTTGTCGATACAAAGTGCGAAGAGAGTTTCAAGTTGCTCGAAACCAAAACGACAAGTAAGCCATGCATCACTACGGGAGCGGATGATCTTCTCAAATTGAGGGCTGCGCTGCAAGTGAAAGATTTAAAATCCTTGGAGAAGCAGAAAAAGTAAGTTTGGATTCAATAATTTATAGATTAACAAAAAAAATATATTCTTATTACTACAATTAGTAGTTACAGGCAATTATGTGAAACAATATCTAGTGTTTTAATTTAAATGTTTATTGAAACATATTAAACAAAAAGTAAAGAATAAAATAAATATATCATTATTAAAAATCTTTGAAAGAGCTACAGATTTTAGGTATTTCCACTCTAATTTAATATTATTCAATAATCATATCATTTAATCTATATCTTACTTATTTTTTAGATATGAAATAGTGAATAGAACATTGCTGAAAAAGATCAAAGAGCATATGAAGGCTAGAAGCAAAGCAGAAAAACAGTGCTCGTATTTGGAGACGATGTACAACGATACGATGGAGAAATTAAATACAAGCAGGTTGGAGTTGAGTACAAAGGCTGCGGAGCTGGCCGATTTTAAAAATATGTTCCGCGAAAAAAATCGAGCCTTAGAGAAACTGCAGAACGCCGTCACGAATTTAGAAATGAAACTGGAACAAAACAAAATTTCTTCTGAACAGCTAAATGCTATAAGCGAAGAGATAAAAACTAAGCACGCGTGTATAGTTGCTCTTAATTTAGAGGTAAGTTTTCCTTTTTATGCGTAGTTTTTTGTATTAATCTTCTCTGCATGTTTAGTTAACTGCTCTGAGAGACAAAAGTGATAGGCTAAGAGAACATTACGATAAAGTATTGATTAAATGTGATAATTTACAAGATGATAAAATACAGTTGGAGAATTCCCGACAAGAGCATTTGTTGGACTGCACGAAGACTATAGGTGGTTTAGAGATGGAGTTGACGGAACTGCAGGATAAAATCGAGTATTACCTAAAGGAAAATGAGGTGAATGTGGTTGGTAAAATGTAAACATAATTTTAATTCAATTTTTAATTTGCAGATATTGAAGTGCAATATGATAAACAAGAACTGCGAAATCGCGGACTTGCAGGAGAGGAATGGGCGGATACAAAGTGCAGCAAACGAAAAGGAGCAGTTTGTAAAGAGGTTGCAGAACGAAGCGAATCAATCGATGGAAACCTGCAAAAGATCTTCGGCGGAGAAGATGTGCTTGCAAGGTTTAATTAACGATTTCAAAACGGCCTTAAACTCAGCCATCAAGGAAAATCAGGTTGTTACTGTTTTTCGCTCTGTTAGAATATGATTTTTATAATTAATTGATATTTAGGATTTGAAGCAACGGATTCTACTGCTAACTAAAGAGAAAATGTCCAGTAGTTTGCCAACCGAGCTGATCATAAATCCGCTGGATTACAAACATATCAATTCGCTTATAAATAGGGCCCAGATGAGCGAAGTGAACTCATTAGGTAAACTGGAGGATTCCCTCAACTGTCTGAAGAGAGAAATGGCTTGTCTGCAGAAGCAGATCGTAGAGAAGAATTTCTCCGTTTCTAGTCTATAGGGCATTAAATTTTAACGATATTTGTTGTTATTATTAGCGTCTTCATTCAACATAAATTATTATAATCATTGTCTTCCTTCGCAACGTCGAATGAAGTTCAAATAATTGCATTCCATTTATGATAAGAAAAACTAACGACTGTGATTATAGCCTAAGGATTAAATAATATATATTGATAAAATAACTATACTATTATATGCATAATATAGCAAAGTCTCGGGGTGTTCAAATGAAATAAACTTTGTCTTAATCTAATTTGAATTTATTTATAAATTTCATGATTGGCGTTTTATAATTACATAATCTGTAATTGATAAATAATGTTAACACATTTCAGTTTCAACACGTTAGTTTAGTTCAGAAAGAATCAACTTATCTTTTTCAATTTTGAAACCCCCCGAAGAATTGGTATATATATATATATATATATCAATTTATATCAATTTATTATTGATACAAGTCTCTTTGGCCCTATTTCTACCCCTTGTGAGGTTTATCGGCTCTCACAAATTTTTGTTGGATTTTGGGAATCGAACCAACGACCTTTCGTAATACAGGCGACAAAATATAGTATTAATAGTTAATTCCTTATTGAGCGCGCAAGAAAAAAACTCGTAATGGATTATAACTATAGACATCTTAAAGAACAATAATTACAATATTAAGTAATTAAAGAGCACTCACAAAATTGAGATTGGCAAAAAAGCATCATCATGTAGCGTAGAATTAAAAAACATTGGTTGGAAATCATATTGTTTTTATTAGTTACATTAGCGCACTATTAATTTAGCATGTATCCAATCAACAAAAGTAAAGTTATAAACTGTAATTTTGCATGTTATTCAGATAATTAAATCAAAAATAATAATATTCTCAGGTTTATAAAATGCTAGTTATCACAGAGCAATATTTATTTTGGTTGCATACAAATTAAGACTATACGCAAGTACATATAAGTGCAGATCGTGATTAATAGTAACGCAACCCAAATAGCACGGACAATTAAGCTCGAACCCTGTCTCCATCGGTTCATCTGCAAATGAAGATATGGATTTCGGAGTTTTATATTCAACATATACAAGTTGTTCTTTTTTTTATTAATTACTGTGTCCTCTTGTATAAATGCACTTGGACCTATGCATAGAAGAAAAGAACATCTTCTTGTTCACGAATTGTTCATTATAATAGTTCGCTATACAAAATATAAATTGCTATGTAATCTCTATAGTACAGTACATAAAGAGTGTGAGCTGACTGAATTAGTTCTTAACTGTTGCAAGAAGGCGCGGTTTTACAAGAAGCTCTTCAAAAACTTGCTTACAAATGAAACAAAATCCATGAATTAGAAAATAATTCTTAATTCGAAAAAAAGATAACAACTGATCCACTCTCTCACTAACATCTGGTTAATAGATGATCTTAAAAAATAATTAGTAAATACTATATAATATAGAATAGAATATATAAAAAAACAGGTCTTGGAATAATAACGCATTTGTATATATAATAATAAAATCTGAATAATTTACATAAAATAAATTAAATAAAAATCGTACATACAAGATGATAAGAAAGTACAAAATAAAGATTATTAAAATAGAAGATCGTATGAGGGATATTTGCATGAAAGAAAATTTACGATAATAAACTTATTATTACATATATTTGCGTATTAAAAAATAATAATAATAGTAATTAAAATAAAAATAATTTAATAAATTCAAATTAATCACCTAAGATAATAATAATTTGTATATATACACTTTAGTTAATTAATAATAATAAATTTGCAAGAAGGTAACAACACTTAGCGACTTATGATAATGAACAACTCCGCATGAATCCGTTTGTCTGGTCGAAAGTTTAATATATTCCATATATCTTCCTGTTCATTTCTTTTTTTTATTATTTCTCATCCCTTCCTACGTATAGAAAATAATATATATTTTCATGTATAATATTTATATATATATATGTTTTGTTGTTTTCTTTTATTGCACGTGTACAGCATGAGCCATTGACCGAAATTATTTCCATCCATCCCATCCAATGATGAAAAGAGAAACAACACACACAAACAATATGATTCCATCTTCAATTCCTTATAACTCGTCCTCTTCCCTCACTGTCGGCGATGCATCCAGAAGCTACATCACTTTGGAATGTGCAGTCAGATAGTCGTTTCATCATTATTACAATATATCATCTATATTTCCTCGTCATATACATTTACATCTTTTGAACAGCAGGCTTCTTTTCAACTACGCCCTATATCGTGTCTGTGTATATTATAAATATATATCTTTTTACTTCTCCTTGCCACCAGGTATAGAAAAACATTAATTTAAAAAAAAAACAAAGAAAAAACAACAAAAACAATTTACTTCCGATCATTCTCTAACTCTCTTTTGAAAACACAGAAATAGTCTGTTTTTCTCGGAAAAAAATAAACCTACGCAATTTACATTTAGAATATCGCAAGTTTATATTTTCATATATTTATATATATATAGAGAGATATAAAAATATACTCTTTCGAAGGAAGCCAAATTATGTAGGTACCTTATAAACAATTCGATCTGATCCCCACGCTTCTATCGCGCCTTCGATTAATTACCCAAAATAAATAATTAAAACGAAACAAATTAGTAAGCATTGAAACAAAGAAAGAAATGAACATAGAAACAAAACATTCAGAACTTAATTACAAACGTATTTTTTCATGTTTTGTAGTTTTTTGCTTTATGTATATATAATTTAATACTTAGTTTACATATGATAATATGTTATAACAAATATAGTTTTTTTTTCTTTTTCACTTCTTTTCTCTAAAAAAAAAACAATAGAATAAAAAGTAAAAAGAAAAAATGTTTCCTCTCTTAAAAAAATGTACACAATCATGCAATAAGATTTAGTTTAGGCCCCACTGTCGTTGTCATTCAAGTTGTCTCAGTCTCTGTCGGACTCTCCTGTAAGCAATACAAAGCAATTAAGTATTGTTCTTTTTGCAATTTGCGAAAATTATTTTGTAGTAGGTCAAATAATGTAAGTTACCTCTATGCTTTCCAAGTCCCCAGATTGTGTCGAGTCCAGCTGCGTGGAATCATCGTCGATCACCGGTCCATGCAGGCTGCACTTTTCATGTAATTGCTCTCTGGTCCTGTGCAACTCCTTCCGCAGATTTTCTCTGTCCTCCTCCACCCCTTTCACAGCACTCTGCAATAATAAGTTCGAGTATTAGTTTGAGATATGTGCGTGATTAATACGGTGGGTGCAACTTACCAGTAAGATTGTAAGCTGCGAATTGAGAGTGGTGGCTATACTTTGAAGCCGAGAAGAGGGCACGGAGGGCACGAGACTCTTAGAGGATGCCGCTAACGCCGTCGCAGCCATTTGAACGTCGTTGCTGGCACAGACGGGATGCTTGCCGCCCGCGGCTGCCACGGAATCGGCCTCAGAAACGTTCAGGGAATCGTTCACAACCTCCAGTAGTTGATCAACTGTATTCATTGAAAAAAAAAAGAGATGAGATAATTAGTAGAGGGCGTTCATTAATTAATATAGGTTAATTGATGGGTTACCTTGGAACACGGCGGCCAACACGAGTTCGGGGAGATCCCGCTGTGACGGTTCTTTCTTGCCGACCTCTTCGCTGACAATGTCTGCGATCATCCTGTACTCATCGCGCGGTATGCTCAGCAGATCTGCTACTAGACCCTCCTTGGCCGCCAGGGCCTGCTTTACTTCCGTGTCTTTGCGTTTGATTTGCTCTGCGGAAAGAATGAGACAATTATTGGTGGACAATTAAAAGCGAAATGAAGAGAGACATAGTGAAATGAGGACAAAATAATAAATTTAAAAAAAACGTGTGCAAATAATTATTTACCTAGAGGAGTAAGGACAGGTTCTGCAGTGTGCACGGGAGGATTTGCCACCTGCACCTCAGAAGGTTGGATGAGAGGCCACTCATTGGGTATCAACTTTACCGAAACACCTTCACCACCAGCTAGAAATTATAACCAAAACCGTGAAGAAAAACGATGCATCGAAGTTACGTGTTTCACTAGCTACCTGAGTGCACCGCCGGGATAGCTGTATCCTCGACACGCATCTGTTGCTTGTTTTCCTCGACGGACGTAGGTTCTGGGGATGGAGTCGAAGACTCGACCTCCTCCTCTTCCATCGTTTCCGGCCTATCACTGCTGGATGCCGGAAGTTCCGGTTCCTCCTCGGACTCTTGTGTCCTCTCCGTGCGCATCTTGTACTGCTCGCTCGCATCGGTGAAGTATTTTAACCACCTAACAAAAAAAAACGATTAAATTATTGTTTAAGCTGCTATCTGCTGTTGCCTATTGTAATATTAGCACCTTGAAGCCGAGCTGTGCATATTGTTGAACATGATCGATAAATTCGCGGGACGAGTCGAAAAGAAACAACGCACGTTTGTCGAAGTCAGTCAGTCAATCCCGCGCTCGCCAAACTTCGCGACTTCACTTGTCAAGAGTGGCTAGCTTAACATGCTAAAATTCCATAAACGCACGCCGCATAGAGATAGTTAGATAGACACAGAGTAGGGCCGACTATTCTATTTTTGTCTATAAACATACAACGTGTCTCGCTCTCTCTCATTTCCTTTCAGCGCTGAAGCTTCAGCAGAAGATCCGCGAAATCGATCTAGACCGGTCGATTTAAAAATACTTCCCCTGCATAACAATAAACAGTTCCCAGAATGCGGGGTCGCCCCTCGTCCACTCATATGCAACCTCATCCACTCATATGGAATCTCATCAAACATCAAAAGCGAAAACAAGAAAGTTCAATCGCGAAAAGGTAATAAAGGAGTAATGCAAAATGCACGTGCCAACACTAAACTCCAGCGCAGTAGCCGTTAAAGATGGATTAGGTTGAGAGCGAACGCGGGAAGCGCGCAATTCATCAATAGAAGTTTAAAATTAGAAGGTGCACTATTTTAACCGGATTGATAACTCGTTATGGAGCCCACTTTGAAACCTATGATACGCATTAGCAACATACATATTTATGACTATTACTGATCATCGACTATTATAAAAATTGAAAGTCCACAAGAGTTAACTTAAAGAACAACAGTAACAAATATAAAATTAAACAATTCAACTGTAATGCTGCCAAAGGATGACACCGTCCATAGGTTTACATGTTCACTTTCAACCTCTGAGTGTTTTACTATAAATATAATTTCCTCATCATAATACTATTTAAATAATTGCGTGCTTTTTTTACCCGATTTATTCTCAATCCAAATAAGTTATAATTTATTGATCATTGAGCAATATTTCCAAATTTGCATATACATAATTTTGTAAATTTTTCGGGTCTCGTTTGATATTTTTAGATTTATTTCAATTAATAATGTTTTCGTGGAAAAAATGGTATGACCACTAAATAGAAAAACATTAGTAACAATAACTGTCATGTATCATAATTATATAGATTTCTTCATGAGACATTTCCAATCAACCGTGAATAATATGAAAATTAATCATGGCTATTTAATCACAAAGATAGTAGTATGTTTGCAATTCGAGGATATCGAAAAAATACCAATAGTATCTATTATTATAATTTAGCAAGATTACTTTACTGTCGCCTATCGACCATTACAATGAAATATAAATTAGTAAGGCGTATTATGTTTTTACATTAAAATTATGATGATGAATTCTATGAAGAGGTATATTCAGAAAAAGGCAATGCATTCGGAGAATTTACATTTATCGGCGGTAAACAGTCCTGATTTTAACTGGAATTCTAAACTTAATTAGTAATTTTTCAGAGAGTTATATGAAATATAAATTGGATTAAAACTTTGTGTCTTTTTGCAAATCCCTATTATTGCTTTAACATTTGCAAAAATTTATTAACAAAATTATCTTATCTAATAATAATTTGAATAAGAGTATTATATTTAGATATAATTATCAGTTTTTCGTGATTTAATATACAATATTGTCTGATTTCTGATACATAGCAAGTAAATATAGTTGTTCAAATGTATTAAATTGTGTTTGGATGGAGACGTATCCAGAGAAAATATTTTGATATAAACAGCGATTTTCATGGCAAAAATTCCTACAATTATATTGAGACATCGTCAATGCAATTGATTGACATTGTCAATTAAGCATTACCAATCAAGGAAATCAAATGACTGTGGAAATGAATGTCCAATAAGGAAATCATGAGGTTTTGCATTTCAAAAGTAGGACCATCAGAGCATTGAAGGTATGTTCTTATTGTTCTAAAACGGAATTGAAAGAAACAATGATTTGGAGTACAACAGCTGTCGTGTGTAATGTACGACGAAGTGAAACATATTCGGAGAAAAAGAAACAATACACGATGTTTACTGACCTCACGATAACACTGCTGCCTCTTCGTTTTTCAGTGTTCTGGACGAGTTTGGGGAAAATGTTGAGGCTGCCGCGACGCTCGCAGACATACAATTTCGGTGTGTCGAGAGTCAAAGATTTGCGACGTTGCGGCATTTTCGCGTGTATTTTGTTAATAGAAACGAAAGAACTACGAACTGAAGTAAGCGAACGGTAGAAACAATCCAGCAAAGAAAACGAAACTTAACAACAATAACAAACAAAAAACACTGTACACCAAAACCGAATCTTTGATACAAATCGAACTACACCTAACTAGTATTCGAAAACAACTGTCGAGGAGACGCATAGACACGATTATGATAAAATGCCTCCTCGCTCCGTTACTTATCTTAATTAGTGTTTGCCCATTTAGGGGGACGAGCGCAAACAACAAATTGTACAAAACTTATATATGTGTACTACTACTACAACTACTAGTAACAACACTTTCCCCTTCTCTTCCTACTCGTCGGTCCGTTGTTGCTTTTCTTTTTATGCAGACAGCGACCGAATAATAATTAAATGTCCATGTCGTAATTAATAGGAGGAAAGGAAAACTTTGTGCGGACGCAAACAAATTTCGCATGAAAGTGTGACGACTTTCCGGACGATTTTTCGATTTATACACTCGATACGCAGAATAAAATAAATTGAATGGCCTCGGGAAGCGTGCAGCGAATTTTCCGCAAGGGAAAATAAACCGGCCGCCCGGTAAATTCGCTTTCCGCTAATTGTTTGTCACGCGATTTGACCGTTCTAATCTTGATTTATCTATTTTGTTGCACTTAAATCTGCGATTTCAATGTTCATTCAATCCGAATTCTATTAATTAGATGCTCGGTAATGGCAAAAAAAGGAGTAATAATATTAAAAGAAGTCGTGTTATTGAGCAACTTGGGAGATCTCCCAAATAAATAAACAGGCATGTTTTGCGCGGTCTGTAAAGAAGATTTACAGCGGTGGACGAAGGGGGATGGAGGAAATCAAGGATTCCTAGTTGTAGTTTCTCGTGGCCATAATTAAAATGAGCCTGAAAATAGAACCAATCGAAGAGTGAGAGGCCAGCGCGCACTCACAAACAACGAACGAATTGATTTTCCTCATAAAATCACAGACGCAATATCTCGGAATTCATATCGATACATTTGAGAAAGAACAGAAAAACTTTTAGGATTAGGACGAACGAGACGGCGCAAACTGAGAAAATGGATCCAAAGGAATCGCATAGTATAGCACACACCGCATTATGGAATGATGACCTGCATTCTATATAAAGGATGATGAATTGTGCGGCATGAAAACAAGAATTCCTTCGAACTAGTGAAAGAGAGACAAAGTGTAGCGAAACGGCCTCCACAAAAAGAAAAATAAATAAATAAACGAAAGAAGCGGACAAAGAAAGAAGAGAAGTAGAAAAAGAACGAACGTCTCTGTTCGACTCCTCCGTCTTACAAAACGGTAGCCACGTGGCATAACCGACGATATAAACATATACGAAATAATTAAAAGCCTTTGCGAAAGGTTTTTGTTATGAAAAAGAATGAAAAGAAGACCCAGACAACGAATAAATAAATAAATTTTGCAACAGTCAGAAATAAAACGATCGCAATTTTCAGCATCGATTTGCAAAAAAATCAAAGCTATCAGCAAAAACCGAAAAACGCTTTTGTTGCCAGGTAAGCAAGTAACGCTTAAATAAAACAAATATATAGTTGCAAGTTTCTGAAAACATTCAACTTTCACTTCATAATCAGCCATCCCAACAGCGAAAATTATTGGTGATTATGGCAGATAAACAGAAAAAGCAAAAAAATAAATAAAGGAGGAAAGTACTTATTTTTCAATTACATGTTAATTTGTTAATCTTTTCCAGCAACCATTCAAAATACTATAAAGACATATAACTAAAATTAACCAGAAAGTAAAAATCAAGATTCAAAAAATATTATTGAACAAATTTTAATAGATTAAGCGTATAATATTTATCACATAGTATGATGCGATACTTGACCAAATATCTAAATGTTTGTAGTCATTAATCTTGATGTATTTTCTAATCCCTAATTGGCTATCTTATTATAATTATTATTTATATCGTCGTGGAGTTTTTTTTATTAGGTTTAATGTTTGTTCTGGGTATTTTTTGGTATTATAAATAAAGCGCCAAAGATTTTGGAATTAATGCTCAGATTAAAGACGTAGAGGACCAAATTTAAGATTGAAGTTTGAAGGTCATTTTAATAATACAGTTTTTTTTTCAATTTGTCGATCATGTTCATTTGTGCAGTTATTGAATGTAATTAGAAATAAAAAGTTATGCAGCCAAACTTACGTTTTTCGGTCATTTACATCTCTGCACTGTATTTCATACATGTGACTGATCAACGTGTTATTGCTCACTAGGTATAAGGTGACGGTATCTAAAATAGATAAAAAGGTACAATTATTTCTAATTCGTATTGGTGATAGATTAAATGACACATACCAGCGGCATTCGGTCTGCAAATGACGTTCTGCATCTTAATAATCGGCGACAACGTCTGGTTCGACTGGTTACCGCAGTGGAAGAATTTTAATAAATAACTTTGGCCTTCTTTCTGCAGAAGTATCACAGCTTCTTCTGTTAACAGCATATGCACTTGAAGTGGATTCTTGTTGGGTCTCTTCAACGTGACCGTGCCTTCGTAAACGAACGTGTACTTTGTCAAATCGATATGCTGCAGCATAACAATAAAGGGTATCCATTAGATATGTCGTTCAATTACGTAAAATATAAAATTTTATTACCTTGTATTCGTTGTCCGTTCGATCGAAACCCGATGTCTCCAAATGGCAATTGATGTAAGAGAGTCGGGCGGTCTCGCTAGCCTTCTTGGCGGCATCGTTCACCTCCTTCAGGATCTCGCGGGATTTTTCCAACGCCTTCCTCAGTTTCTCCAACTCGGCGTTGGATCGTCCTGGGTTGGCGATGCACGCCGCCTCCTCCTGCTCGATGAGCCTGCCAAGGAGCAGAGGGTACTTGGATAGCCTCTGCATCTCCTGCGGCAGAAAACCCTGCAACGGCAGTCGTCTGCAGTGGTGGTTCTTCTCGCAGTTCATCAATAGATTCTCGAACTTGGCATCCTTTTTCCTCTTCTCTTTGATCAGCTCCAGCGCGTTCTGTTGTTGCTCGCAGAATTTCGCCGCCGCGTTTCTGAACGCCGTTCCCCGTTCACCGTCAAACTAAAACCAAACAAATATTTAGAGACCGACTTCTGGAAGAAAGAACACGTCAATCAACATACCATATTCAGGAGAATATCCCCGACATCTGTGACGACAGATTGTTCTTTCCGTTTGGTCTTCATCAGCGAATTGAACTGACTGTGGGTCCCGAGCAGCTCAGGCAAATTCGGGAAGACAAGCTTCATCTCCGAATCGGTGAGGATCTTGCTACGGAAAATTTCCCTGCGGAAGATCAATTCTAATACTTTCAGGTTCCGAACGTGCGACCTTTCCGTGTGGAATAGTTCTGTAAATCATCGACAAATCAATTATTGCAAATTACATACATCACTTGATATTTAAACCGATGATCATTACCATTGATCACGTCCTGTCTCTTCATTTCGTTGGCTTGCAGGTTGGAGAGCTGTTCGTTCGTGAGGGCGCTCTTCCAGTCCGGCGGATCCGCCTCAACTTCCATATCACTATCTCGCTCGCCGCCTTGTCCATCTGACAGTCCGCCGACGTCCAAGCTACTGCTTGGACTATCCAGTGACCTACGAATACACCAGATGTTAAACAGAACAAAAAAAATCTTCCGGTCAACATACCTTGAACTTAGGCTGCTATTCGACGAACTACCCGAGTGCTGATGGAATGAAATACTATTGTCCAGATCCACCGCTTCACTACTACAATATAAAACAACAACATTTAGTTAACCACATCAAACGGGCATCATCTACAGAAGCAACAACAAATGGTTATGCACATTGATCTTACTCCAACAAATCAAATTCGATATAAAATACCGAGTGTTTCTTCTCTTCACTAGAAGATGTCCTCATGTTATCATTTGAATCAAGGAGCAACCAGCAACATCAAGTAGCGCACACATTATAGCAGATAGTGCGCGAAACTTATCTTATCTATTTTCTCAGATATCGAATTAATAACGCATGGCAAGAGAAATTAAAATCTAAAAACGAAATCCAAACCCAAACAAGACGGCCAATATATCAAAAACGGAACGTACAGGAATGTGTGATTTTCCCCAACATTTTTTTTACCCCCGTGACATACCGTAATTTCTTCAAATACATGTACGAAAATAATACAAACAAATAAAGAATGTACTAATTAAATAAATGGAAAGCGCGGTATCTTACATCATCTGTAAGTAATTGCACTGATTGTGACTATACATAGTTATAATGAAATAATTTAAATGGAACCATTCTCCCTGCTCTTTAGGTCTTAAATTTGTTATTAAATTTCGTGTCGCATTAAATAATAAAAACCTAAAAAATGTTCTTGCAACCACCACATCAAGTTTTTATAAACCGTAAAAGTGCAAAACAAAATAGATAATTTAAGGAAGTAATTATATATGTTCATTTATTTTTCTATCTATCTTTGCTGCCTGTTCTCTTGAATGTGAATCCTGAAAGCAGATGGCACGGCAATCGATTCCAACCATTTGCGTTCGGCGAAGGTTTTGCAAGCTCCTGTACCCATAAAACGTCTGTCCTTCGCGCGTTAATTCTCCTTACTTTAAACGCGATGGCAATCGACAATTTCATTATATTCTTTGCATTGTGTAAAATTGAAATTTTAAGTTTGCTCGTATGACCGTTCGTCCAAGGGAAAATAAAAAACGATATTTTAATTAGGAACATGACGTTTTATCGCAATTAATCGACGCGTCCCAGGCTATGTATAGACACGACCGACGGGGTTTATATTTTGTTTTTGACTAATTGTTTATTAATATAAGAGGAGAGATCTTTAAACGGGAATGTGGAATTTCCAGACACAGATGTTTCGGTTCGATAAGAATAAAAAAAACAGTTACTCAAACAACACACACCCATAAAGACAGTTCGCTATTATTTATAGTAAACATAGTCGGGATGTGTGTGTATCCATTAGCCTGGTCTACCGAGAAAGCCAGTTAAAATTTTCCCGGGCAGCGCTTCGGAAATACCTTTCGAAATGTCCCCCTGGACAGTTGCTGTTGCTGATATTATTGTTACTGCTAGGACAATCCATGGTACATCGGTAATGCACGTCAGTTGTTATCAAGACTCATTGATGTCGTAAAAGCAGATGAGTTTATGAATGGATTCTGGATCGAGCACAGAGGAAAACCTTGCACTACTGTTTATCAATACTATTTGTTTATGTTACGGCAATCTGGTCACGATATATTTTGTATGTGAGCCTGTGCATGTGTGTGCACTAGAAGCACTCGCGACGAAGGTGAGAGTTTGCTCCTAGTTTCCGGGGCGACAAGGGGTTGTTGAGACCAGTAGGGGCGCAGACGCGCTCGCAGAAATAATTCAACTCGTCCTTGCTACTGTCGCTGGTTATGTCAGACCATCGGTAGCACAGGAGCGTGAAGTTTTGGAATTGCAACGTGAATAATAATTGACTTTCGACGCCGCCGACGCCACCGAACAATGAATGAGCGTCGTCGTATTATCGACTGGCGGAGGCGGAGTGAGAGAATTGAGGAAAAGCAGGAGGAGGAGACGAAAGGACAACCGAAATATCTACCCGAAACTATCGACCCGCACGCGAAAATAACGTTGTTTCGCAGCTCAGGCATTGGCACAAATCAATCGACAAAAAATGAAACAGTAGAAAAATAGTACACTGTTCAAAATAAAACTCACCCTGTCGTTCGCAGGGGATCGCTGACATTCCTCCGTTGCTTACGGTTCTGCAATGTAAACAAACACATAATTCCAATTAGTTAAGTCAAAAATAAAAGTTGCTTTGTCACTGACCTTCTCCGGCTGCTCTTTGACACTCTCCGACCTATTGATGTTACCAATCTGTCGCCTTTTGTTTCCGGTGGAAGCGGGTTGACTAGTTGAACTGCAAAAAAAAAGAAACGAGCGCATTAGATAAATATGAAAATGTAAACATTTACTTGATAACTTATGTCTCGTTATCGTTAATTTTAAATATGGAATAAGTGCAATGCCAGTACTTAGGAAAACTAATATTCACAGTTAAATAATATACACCCATTTAACATTTACATACTATATATGTATTTTAATTCACATTGTTCAATTATATAAAATTACTAATTACAAAATAGTTTGCTTAAAATTTATATATGAAAATAATTCAAATTACATCTGAATATATAGGATTATAATGTTACACATTTTAAATAAATATTCAAGTAAACTATATTCAAATTGTTTGTCCAAATAATGATGAAACTCTTTAAATAAATGCTTAATAATATATTGTAGAACATCATGTTGCCTGAAAGCGCTAGATGGCATTACAATCAAATTTATTATTATTTAATATACGTTTTCTATTTGTTTCTATTACTATCTAAAATTACGCAAGAAACATTCTAACATTTGGTCGATTGTAAAGTTAAGTGGATAAACTCCTAACAAAAGCTAATACTACAGCCATTTAGAAAATGTTAATTCGATAATGCAACATAACAAAATCTAACTATATACAAAACAAAAAAATAACTGTACATTTAAAACGATGAGAATGAATTTCAATAGGAAAACTATTATGTCGGTCTCGCCTAGCAGAATTGAATTATTTATTAGCAGATGAATCGATTACGGATTAATTCATTATTTACTTTTAGAGCTAATACAGTCTTTCCTCCTAAGCCACACTACACGTTACTATTATAAATTCGATGAAACATAATTATCGCATTTTATTTATTTGTAGTTTGTCTCAACGACTCATGATGTCATCATGCTAATTTATCGTTGTCTCAGAAAGTTTCTACAAACATTTCGCAAGACAATGGTAAACGGTTGGATAAACGCTGTATTTTGAGTTTAGTGTTTAATGTTCATTTGGAGATATAATTCAGTAATTTCATACAATTTAAATCATTTGCAATTTTTCAATCTATAAAAGTAATGTATTAACAATCATGATTAAGTTACATTTAAAAAGGGTAAACTTTATAAGTAACTTGATTATAATATATTATTAATAGAAATAGTGGTTCGCCTTCGTGACGCAATCCAGCACCTACTATGTTCCTAGAAATGTAAATGCAAAATATATATTGTCTGATATTAATTAGCACGAATAAGGCTGAACTTTTATTTCATTAATTAGTATAGTAAATATAGAAACGATATTAAAAAAATAATTATAATGAAGTGTAATTGCCAAAAAATACCTCACAATAAATTTACATAGCCTTAGATATGCACATTAAACTGGAGATCATATATAGAAAAAAAAGCACGAAAAAATGTATATCAAATTTGAAAAAAAAATAACAACATAAGAAATGGCAATTAACAGCAAGAATCAAAGCATTTTAAAGATATGAAAGATGAATACAGGTGTTTAATATAGTAACACGAATAATAAAATAATTACAAAATAATCTAGAATTAAAGAAACACTTTCAATTTATTGCCGTCAATTGCAAACTAATTTACTAATTTTTCAAATTGAATAATTCAATTTAATTGAGACAGCCAGTTATTAAGGACAAATCCTAAAGAACGAAAACAAAACTAAGGAAATAACACAAATTTACTCCGCTTTTTAGTGCCAATATTCCGTTTAATCGGGACAGTAATCGTGTGTGAATGTGCCGCACACATGGACGGACCGGCGTTATACATACATATTTATTGTTCCAGATTTTATATATTTCTCTTATGCAGTACGTATAATAGTTATTAAATAAAATATTTTAAAATATTTGTAATTTTTGTGGAATTTCGGACAATTGGGACAGCCGCTTAATCGTGACAAAATGTACTAGCCCCGATTAAACGGAATCCAGTCTATATGTAAATATCGTGTTGAAAAGCAAACAAAATTTTCAAAGTAATAATAATTTTTATAGCTCTATTCTAAAGGTTATTCTTAGGTATTTTATTTATTTTCACTTTGGTGCAGTGGACGGAAATAGATGCTGAATAATTGAGGAGTGAAATCACGCAACGTTTCCGTGCATTTTTATTGCAGTTGAAATAAGAAATAAACAACAATTAAGACCATAATTGCAATAGAGTAAAAGTGTTGTTATTAACAATAAATAGCAGCGAGTGTAATTGTGATGCGATTTTGCAACGAGTATAATAAGAAAACCACGCAGAAGAGTTGAAATCGAATGTGTTCTAGGAGTGGAACCGAATGCAGCAAGTCTGTGTGTGTGCATTAAAATCGTTCGTTCCTTCGGTTTATTAATTCGATGGTCGTGGAGCGGAACAAGACCCGCTTTGGCGCGAACAGACGGAGCGGAAAATGGCGGCCTTCCACCGTCATATCCATCCGTCCATCAATACTCATTTCTTTTCATCCACCCAAATCCCTTTCCAGTCGTTTGCAGCAATAACAACGGTCTGGAAATAATGAGACAACGCCTGCCATAAAGCAAATGCATGCCTAACGAACGAGAGATAGATAAGGCGTTCGAAATTTCTCCAAAACTCAACACGGTTTTATTTGCAACAAACAACGCGAAAAACTATTACGACACTTGCGAATTCCCATGCCGTTAATCGGTGTGTAACCATTCCACAATAATTTTCGAGCAAATAAATACAGAGAATTAATTTCAAAATCCATTTACTGATTTCTCATTTCATTTACGAACAACATTTTAATAACTATGATAAAATTAGGGTACCTTACATTGTTTATAAAAGGTGGATACCAGAATGAATAAAGACAATTCTGTTAAGCAACAAGTCATCTATAAAAAACAAATACACCATTATAATGGTATTCAACTGAATAGATAGTTCAAGTTTTGTTGTATATATAATTCTCTTATAAAGATTAAAACTAAACTATATATGTGTTAAGCGAATAATAAATCCGCAAAATAAAATTGATTATGAAACTGGTCGGAAATACAGATTACAGGGAGCACGACTGCAAGAAATAGTTTATGAAATGTATTGCATCATTTTTTTTAATGTGAATATAAAAAAATAGAAAGCATTTTCCACAATACGGAGTGGAGAGACAGAGAAATGTTGCATGATTCACGCCCGCATTGAAAATTAAAAGACCGCAAACATCACAAAATTGAAACTATCACAACGGTCAACGGACGCCGTCCGTCTGCTTTAAACATCCAACGTCCCACAAATCCTACAAACCCGAATTTCGAATTTGATGATATGGCAGACTTCATCGATTTGACGATGTTCAGCAGGTGCTCGGTTTCGCCCATCATAATAACAGGAAAGGTAGCAGGTGGTGTCGCCCAATAGCAATCATGTACATTGTTTTCTTTCTCTTCAGTTGCTTTGCAATAAGAAGACCCATGCAGCACTAATCACAAAACTGAAGAAGAGCAGAGAGAGGACAGCGCACAAACCAACCAGGGGGAAGAAAAAAAACACTAAAGTGAAAACACGTCGAATGAATGATAATGCGGGGCTCCGTTATCAATCGCCTGATAATCCCTCGCACATTTACACCTTTAAACATTGGATAAGAGAATAAAACACCGGCCGATCGCAATCTCCTCGCCTTTCAATTTGACACACACAATCAGTATATTAAGGAATGCGGCATGAAATAATCGAATCCCATCGATTGCATGCACATATTACAGTAACTCAAGTGTGAGAAATTGCATAAGGCTAATAGTGACTAGCATGAATACTAATTATATGCTAGACTTGATAAAACAATATAGGTATGATGTTCTAAGCATATTTTGCAGGATCAGAATATTGTATATTGATAGTGAACGATATTGAGTAAATAAATCTGTAGCATTAATCCACAAGGTTAAGTAAAATAGATAGATCTGTAAAGCAAGAGAACAATTGAATAACAACTTTAGGAAATGTTCGTGCATTTTGAAACTTTGTAAATAATAGATTAGTATCTTCATATATAGTTGTACTATAGGGAAGTGAGTGGACTGACCCACGCAGTCTTAGTCTCCCTTTGACCAATATTACGGTAAATTCTAGTGGGCAGAAGTGTTCGGCTATCAACAACTGGTTGAAGCATCCAAAGAATGACTTCCTTAAAGTACTCGTGCCATGGCAACGATGTTCTTAATTTTCTTCAGTTGAATCGAAGGAGACTCATGACATCCGAAAACCATTACAATACGGCATAAAAACAAACATGCAAATTATAATTTTCACAACCACCGAATCGAGATTTCCATTATCGAATGTTTGCAAAATGTGATTCACACGTTATCGTAAAGCCGCGATAATAAAGTTTCCACTATATTTCAAGATATTGCAACGTTATTTTATGTTTGTTTAGTTAATAAATTAATTTTTCAACTTAAATCTTACCTTTCGGGGTTTGCTGAATCATTGTCATTGTCGGTGGACTGATTCAGGGGTTGCGTCCTGCATGATTCCTCCCTGACGGCATCTGGTCGTCGGTCGGAAGGCGTCCTCGTAAGAGGATTTCCAGGCTTTGCTTCGCCTAAAACAAATATCATAACAAATAAATAAACATACATATCGAATGTTAAGAATAATCATTATATAGACTTTTAAATAGACTTTTGGCCCAAAATGCGCCAATATTTTTTTTAAATAAATTAAATAATACAAATCTTGTGTCACCACGGTTGATTTTCATGGTAATGGTGATAAAGTTATGAATATGCGCGTAAAACCACAACAAAATGACTAAATGAATTCCGGAAATGCGTTAATCATGGAACGCTGAAAAGAAACAAAATTAAAATGAAAATAGATTTTGTTTTATTTTCGTTCAAATTTATTTAGCGCTCTTCGACAAGAACAAAATTCAGTGATGACTCGTGGAGATACGTGCAAGGGAAGCGATTATAACGGAAAAGCGAAAAATCTTGATCAACAATTCAAGAAAATCTGTATAAATTAAACATAGACAGAAATAGTTATCTTTTTGTATAATTTATGTTTTTCATTGATACCTTCAATCCGTAATGGAATATATTTTTTAATCCGCAAAATTTCAATACAGAGATGCAGTTGTTCCACCACTGTAGGTAATTTTAAAACATAAGATTATGGCTGTATTATGGTGTATTCTTATGAATCAAGCGAGTGGAACAAAACCCCTGACGCTATTTAGAGGAAAAAATGTTGAGCTAAATTTAATCTTATATCCAAGCGTGCCGATGCACTTCGGGTGTGTTATGTAAGAAGACCCGTTGCGAGGAGACCCCAAAGGTGTGAATCGAGTTAGCGTGTAGGTTTTCTTTTTCCCTCTTACACATACTGGTTGCCTCTTCTCGAATTATTGTTGTTATCAGTTAACATGTGTTCGTATCCCAGGTTTGCCCAACTAATTGTTGGCCTATTTCATTGCCGCCAAGGTCAACCGCCAGTTGCACTAAAAGAATGCGCGATTTCCTGGATGGATATAGTTCGACTACTTATTGATAGTGGGTTTGATGTCCTGGCGATGAAGATTACCTGATGACGCTGTTCCAGTAATCCAACTGCTTCTGCGGATGGGCGTCGAGGTGATATTGCTAGTGAGGTCCTGCGAGCCGAACTTTCTTTGCACTTGCACACTCTTATTCAAACTGGTATTACTGTCACTGATATTGTTGTTATTGTGTATGGCACTGTTGAAGGAAATGTAGTCGAATTCCTTGGCGACTTTTGTAGTTTTGGCACCGAGGAGCAATCGCCGACGGCGCAACAGGTTCAAATTAATTGCACTACTCGACTTGGACTTGGCCAGCACCGGTTTCTCGTCGACGATCTCGTTGACGCTGCCGTCCACCGAAAGCGTCTTTTTGTGACCCAGGCCGGGTCGGATGGCCTCCAGATTAGAGGTCTGTCGAAACATGCGGTACTCAAAGTGCGACGTTGGCTTTTTCGCCTCCTCCTTGCCCTTCGTTTTCTTCTCTTTCTTCTCGCTGATGTCCGGCATCTTGGGCGCCGCACTCACGATGCTCTCGTTCTTCTGTTTGTAGATTTTACTACGCACCCTCTTTAGCACTGAACTATTGTGTGCCTCATCCTTTTTAGGAACCGTTGCTAATTCGGGAGCCTTGGTTTTACCAGTCTTCTGGTTTTGGGTCTTGCCTGATTTTCCTGAGCGTTGAGGGCTTTCTTTCACTTCAGCCACACGGCCATCGTCCGCGATCTCAAACTGCGTAACCATCTTACCGCTGCTCTTCGGCTGTTTCTCGGAGCCGCTGTTGCTGTTCGGCCTGAACAGATCACTGAACCGGCGCGATTTCTTCTCCTTAACGAAAGCCTCAGATTCAGAGTTGTTGAAGAGGTAACCGCTATGAGCGCGCAACAGCTTCAGCTCGCCCTCGGTGACGGATGAATTGTCGATGACATAACTGTCACTATATCGTTTGATAGCACTGTTTATGTCGTTGTTTTCCGTATCTTTCTTACGTAGAACAACGCCATCCAGTTCGTCGTCGTCCTTGAAGACAGGCGCGAGATACTGCTGCACAACAGCCGGAGACTCCTCGTTTAGCAGATCCTCGATCAGGTCTGGCGTTACGCCTTTTATCACCTCGTTAGTACCTTCGCTGTCCAGTCCGCTCTTTTTACCGCTGCCACTTTTATTATTCGGCGCCTTCAGCTGCTTGCCTTTGGAATCACCGCTCTTCGACTCGGCCTTGTCACTTTTTCGTTTCCTGTGGGAGATCTTGCTCTTCAGAGACGTCGCCTGCTTGTTATTACTTCTGGCCGCCGCGTCCGACGCAGCATGCTTCGACCACATTATCCCTAAGCAATCTCACACTTTCTGTTGTCCCTCAATCTTCAATACATATAACGAAGGATGTCAGTTATGGTATATCACTCATTTGCTACCACATTTCACACTACAACTCTACAAATTGAACATAAGGAACTTAGACATACAGAGGGAGAGAGAGTTAAGTACAGATAATGTGAGAACGACAGTTTTACAAAACATGAAACTTTTTAATTCGCCACAACATTCGTGTTGTGTGCGCGCTTGCTGCTATCAAGCTTAGTGCGCGATAGATAAGCCGACGTGTTTTTCGTACCGATAAGGCGCGTATCGTGAAAGCAACGAAAATAAAACCAACGTCGTACGAAAAGCGACAATCCAATATGCAAACGAAACACCAGGTAAATAATAATAAATCCTATGATGCGACCGTCCAACAAATAGAAATCATCGGAAATGCACCGACGAGCAGACTACGGACTGAGTGAGTGACAGACGATCGGTGGCTGCCGCAACTCGCGCTCGCGAAGACTGGAAGTGAACGAACGGCCGGCTGCTCACTTCCTGCCCTCCCCGTCAACACAGCCCGATGCGATGATGATTTAATGCTTGCGGCAAAGAAACACTTCTTATCGAGCCTTCCGGATGTGAATAATTAAATTCCAAATAGCGACTTACTAGAATTTTCACCCTTCTACAACAATAACAACGCGAGATTTGAAGATTGGTCTACCTTTCCAATCAAACATCTACTTCGTTCGTCTCTTTTTCTGTGCGACGAAATTGCACCGGAAACGAGCCGCCTTTATATTATTATTATTTTCGCTCCTCTCGTTCGCTTTTTACAACTTCCGGCAGCGGCAATGTGCTTCTGGTTCTGCACACCAGCACACAAACACTGTTTACAATCGCGCCGTGGGAGCAGGACATTTGGCAAATTTCGCTGTCGCTATCATATAATTGCCGTTTGCCTACGAACGAGAGACTTGCACTTGAAATGACAAGAGGCGTAAGCGGAGATAGCTTCCAAAGAAAAATAATAATAAAAAGAAATCGACGGCAAGTCGACCAGAACGGGCGTATTTTTAAATCTTCCAAAAATAATTCAACACTTTCAGTCCCATATGCAGAGCTCTCCACATTTCGAAACTTTAAACGCGCGACTCTAAATCCAATATATTTTGTGGATTAGTAAACAAGAGCTTAGCTTAATTTCCTTGGCTTGTTATAAGATTGCTAAATCGATAACCTTTTAGAATTGTATATGCTTGTTGTTCTTTATTAGTGTTGTTGTTGATATTATTATTGTGATTGGTCTTTGTTTAAGTTGTAGTACGTAATGGTCAGACCGTGGAGGCGCGCGCGCATATGCAGCACCATTCTCTACTTAAGGCCATTGTTGGAAGTTGTAAAACTGCTCTCTCAATTATGCAATACAATAAAATGGCACAAGCGTGTCAGGGGAGTTGACCAATTACCAAAATCGCCGGTTACTCTATCTCACTCTCTCTCTCTCTACGCCTATATAAAAAATCAACGAAGTAGTCCAAGTAGGATTGACGTTCTTCGGCGATGTAATAGTCAGAACCTTTCGTTTTCACATGTTCCTAGCACTGCACATGCAAACGCGCACACAAACAGACGGAGACTGAAGGAGGTAGAAGCAGAAGAATGACTAAGGTTCGAACGGTTTTCACGACCGCAGTAGACACGGGCAGGCCAAGAGGCCACAGGCAGGTAATCCACCTTCTCTCCTCTTCTTTTTCCTCACTCCTTTTCTCCTCGGCAGGCAAGATGATGATGACACACGCGAAATTCCACCTCCGGCAGCGAGGCCCTCCGAAGCCCGCGAGAAGAAGTAAAGGATGGAAACCAAAACAAACACGCACTCGAACTGAATAGGCAACAGCAAAATAAAACGAAAGAGTAAGAACTGGTGCGCAAAAGGTAAATAAAACAGAAGATAATGGAGCAAATTTAACTGCGAACACGCCGTCTAGTGACTCGCCTTACTCGCTCGGTAGTCCACTAAATATTAAACCAACGAACGAATACACATTGAGGAGAGTGAACTAACCTAAAACTCACTCACTCACTCCTTCCTTCCTCCCTCTTGTCGTCTTTCTTTCAATGCCGGCTGTGCAGACATACACCATGCAACTAACCAAACTCGGTCGCTCAATCGCTGCAGTGCATGCACCCCCGACTTTCCATCGCTATGGAGAACGGGGAACTACAACACATAACACCAGCTGGAACGCCGTTCACGGAGAAGAATTTAATCAATAGAACGATGAAAGAGAACTGCAGTACCCTCATGTATAGCATTACATAGATCTTCCCCTTGTGTGCATCGAAAAATGCGCATCTTCATCCATTAATTTAAACTGGTTAGGGTGACTTACCACCGAAAGGTCATGCCCAAATTTCGCAGTCGTTCAAGGTAAACTACGATATACAAATATAAGTATGATTCAATCGGAATTGAACAAACAATCTTGTCCGCATAGGATTTCCCAAGGAAACATTACGTTTGCTTCATAGCATTTGAACTTTGAAGTCGTTTCCAACAATTATATAATTTAATAATTTAAGCAGTACTTGTTCATAGCCAAATCGTTTAAACACAATAAAATTGATGTCAATTAAAATAATTTCTATAAAGTCGAAACGTCGCTATAACTAAATTTGCCTGTATGAAGCCATACAAGAATATGTAATCGAGTAATGCATGAACGCCAGTTTCAATTGTTCTTCAAAAC